CCCCCACCCCCCCGCGGCCCCTCTTCATTTCACTCTCCCTCAGCATGAGGACGGACACAGAACCATCAGGTTCCTGCCGAACCTCCTCTTCATATTTATATTTACAGTCAACTCCTCTCTGTCACAGGTGGAACACGAACACATGTTGGACTGGTTTTTATTTGACACCCAGTCAATTTTATGACACCTGGATCGAACCGGTCCGTTATTACCATCAACTCCACCCGTGGATTTAGGAGAACATCTGCTGGAGGTTCGGCAGGAGGTGCAGCGACCACCACCACCTCCTCTCCTCCTCCTCCTCCTCATTGTCTGGCGGAGTTTCAACATTGCGCATTTTAACGACCGCGTCCGCAGAATACGTGATTCTGGACACATGTCCTAAAGGGACATCACGTCCTCAACCTTAAAGCTGGTAGTTAATATTTAACCCTAAACCAGGTCTATAATTCACACACTCACCACTGGGTGTAGAAACACTTCCTAACTTTTCAACAGACCGAGAAATCGAAGAGTTATTATTATTATTATTATAGAAAGTTTATTATTATTATTATTAATAATAAAACTTTAACAGATAAAGTAAATATATTCAGTCATTTAATTTAATTTAATTAGGACTAGTTATAATTAGTTGTACAAGTTGGTTTAATTTATATTTTACAGAATTTGGTGAAAACTTGTTCAGATTTAAACTCGTTCATTTCCAACGTTTAACAATTTTTACTGAGTAAAAAAAACGACACTTTTATTCACAAAACCAACATGAAATTAATGAATTAATAAAAATCACATAAATGTTTTGTGGTGACAGTCTGAGGAACTTATTTTTTTCTTACTTTTATATTTAGAATTATTTTAAAATATTTTTAACGTACATTTTACAGTCAGTCAATATTTAAAAACATCAACAAAATAACTGCGGTTTAAATAATATCATTTAATTTATGTTTATTTTAAAATAAAGTCACGGACGTGTTTCTGTTCTCACGGTCTGACGTGTCCGGGGTTCAGAACACGGACGGTCACGTGACTGTGATCGTTCCCGTCCTGACTTGTATTTTAACAAATATAATTTATTGTATGAATATTTGTAAAACTTCAACAACACTCACCAGGCCTAAAGTCATCACGTGACCTGACGTACAGTTTACATTTGTAATGACGTCATAAAACGAGTAGACTGACAGTAATTGGACGTTAACTTGGACCACGTGACTCCAAAACTTTAACGAACTGAGTTCTAATTCAATCAACGGCCGCTGCCTTCACTAATGGATACAAATAAATGATTATTTCAAAAGTTAAATCAAATAAACATTTCAGTTTTACTGGATGAGGATAAAGAACAGGGATGGAGCTAACACACACACACACACACACACACACACCAGAACCACCGCGGGCCCAGCTGACGTCTCTGGTTTTGGACTCACGTGACCAGCGGTGATCTTTACACCGACGTTGTGTCTTCCTGCTCCGGGGTCTAAATACAGGCGGCCCCCGGGGGCCACGGTGTTCACCGGGGCCCACATGCCGACCGAGGCAGCTACAGACCGGGCCACAATCAAACAAACGTGCTGAAGGACGTCCGCGACCGCGTGTGTGTGTGAGTGTGTGTGTGTTATTGACAGGTGTGTGAGTGAAGCGGCACTTGAACCACACACACCCCGCTGCTCTGTCTCCACCTAATGGTCCAAATGAGATGGACATCTGAATGTGCAGAGATGAGCCGTGGTGATCAACCTCTGGTTCCGTCTGTTCTGAACAGATGGCCTCCAGACAATTGAGTTTGACGGAGGAGTCGGTGACGGTGCAGAGCCGCAGCTTCCCCGCTGCCTCTGAGCAACAGGCGGACTGTTCTGACAGGCTGTTGTTTCACGCTGTTCACACTGTTCTTTATTGTTGTGGCTGTTGTTTTTGTCACGAAGCAGTGATTTTGGACTGAAGAACCGAGCCACAGGTCCATGTTAGACCAGGCCGAACCAGACTGTACCAGACTGGACCGGACTGTCAGGCTGGTCCAGTCCGGTCCAGTCCAGTCTGGTTGCCTGACTGGTTCAGCTCGAACTGTTCTTCAGCTCCTATAATCTTCCATGACATGCAGTTCCGGTCCGGTCCACTGGACCGACTGGACCGACTGACTCCCGCCTACTCAGCAGGACACAGACTTTGAATTCTATTTTAAATTCAAACATTTGTTCTTTAAAAGGGTAAAAATTAAAAATAAACATTTTTCTCTGCTCAGTGAAAGACGATGTTTTTTTATAGAGAAAAAAAATACTACCCCCCCCAACACCCCCCCCCCACCCCCCCCTCCCCCCTCCCCCACCCCTCCCCCCCCCCCCTCTGTTTATATCATGCAACCAGATCTGTTTGGTCTGATTTTTCCAGCCTCAGCTTCAGTTTGGTCTGCTCGTGCTCGTGCACGCACACGCACACGCACAGCTCCGGTGACGGACAGATGATACACCTTCACTCTCTGCGGTCAGATCCACGGATTTCACCGAGCGGAGTTTGGCTGCCGATCGTCGCGCACACGTTAATTGTCATCTGTGAACACGCGCACTGGCAGCGCGAACACGCGCACTGCGCGCAGCTTCTGGCTAAGTGATGTGGGGCGGGACACTGCGTGAGAGCAGCGGGCACAGCAGCAGGACGGGGGCAGAGCGCGGCACGGCTCCGTGGACAGCAGATCGTCCGTGTTATTAACTATGTTGGGAGAGGCTGCCCCCCCCCCTAACCCCCCCTCTATCTGTAGACCACGCCCCCTCCTCACTCACTATACTTCAGAGTGTTTGGCATCTCAGAGATGGTCCAAAGTGATCCCTCAGGGAGGAGGAGAGCGCTAATCACCGGAGCAGGAGTCTGAGGAGCAGCGGAGCCGCGTCGTGCCGAACCTTCTTTAAGTTACGTTAAACCTTCCATTTCCCGCATCTTCAGAGGAGTTTGTCAATAAAAACACTTCAGAGGAGAGAAGACGCGGCTGCTGCTTCTTCTGCTGCTTCTTCTTCTTCTTCAGTGTGGACTGTTTGTCGATCACTGGAACATTTTTGTGCGTCTTTCCCGCTGCACGGTTCCCGCCGCCGCCGCCTCCGCCTCCTGGTTCCCGGAGCCTCTGGTTGATCATCTGAACAACTGCTGCTGTTTTCATCTCTTATCTTCATCTGTTATTTATTTATGTGTTTGTTTGTTTGTTGTTTTTCCCGGAGTCCCAGCGTGAACCTCTGGATGCCGTCACCTCCTCTCATCCCTCCACACGTCGCATCTTGTGTTTACCTTCAGAAACGCACGCCAAGTGTTGGAGACCACGACACTCTGGTCCTGTGACAGAGCGGACGGACGCACGCACGCACAAGAGGAGGAGGAGTGGAGGAGAGAGAGAGAGAGGGAGAGAGAGAGAGGGAGAGAGGGAGGGAGGGAGAGAGAGACTGAGAGACTGAGAGAGAGAGGAACCACAAGAAGGTGCGTTTTGATGTTTGGCATCCACGACCACATCCAGAGGAGTGGGAGTAGTATGAAAGAAGAGCCCATGGTGGCCGGGATGAACGCCGTTCGGACATGGATGCAGGGCGCCGGGGTGCTGGACGCCAACACTGCCGCCCAGAGGTGAGCCTGAGGCGGCCGCGGAGCTGCCTCTCACTGCGGGCTGTGGAGCCGTGTGCGGGGGGGAAACAGCCAGTAAAGACGCGTAAATCTGCGCGGTGGTGAAGTCGGAGCGGCCGCGTCAGTTCGGGAGCAGCGTGATGGAGATGATCAGTTTTAATCTATTTGTAAATATATATACTGTATATATATATTTCAGGGTGAGGTTCTGCAGCAGCGCGGCCGTGGTTGGAGGCAGGAACCGGAGAAAAGTTCAGTTTTAATGCGGTTCAGTTTTCACGCGCTTCTTCAGCCTCACGTTTTATATTTAGTTTTTAATTTTTAATAGACTGCGTTAAAACTCCTGAAATAGAAACATATATTTTATTGTCTATGAAGACGCAACGTGGATCATTTTTTATATGTATTACTTTTTAATTTGGGGCAGAATTAAAAGTAACATCTGTCACAGTAAGAAGTCTTTGTGTTAAAATGAATAATTTAAAAAATACATTATTGAAATAATTAAAAGCACGAAGATGAATTCATCCAAAATAAAACGTTTTGGTTTTAATTGTTAAATTAAACCTAATTGTTAAACGGCCTTCGGTGGAGGACTGAGGTGGAACCGCGGGAGGATTCATTAACCCGCTGTCACGTTTCCCAGAATTCAAACTTTTTTTTTTTTAATCCACTTGTTCGTCAGTATATAATTCTTTCTAAAACGACTGACTGAGTCGCCGCGGCCGCTCTCTGCTTGTGTCCGCAGCGGCGTGGGTCTCGCTCGGGCGCACTTCGAGAAGCAGCCGCCCTCCAACCTCCGCAAGTCCAACTTCTTCCACTTCGTCCTGGCCCTGTACGACCGGCAGGGGCAGCCGGTGGAGATCGAGAGGACCACGTTCGTGGACTTCGTGGAGAAAGAGAAGGTGAGTGTGGAGCTCAGAGCGACACACACACATGACAAATATAAACTGATAAAAAGTGTTCAGAGTGACAGGGTGATGGACGAGCACACACACACACACACACACACACACACAGCAGGGTGATTTTACATGTGGTTTCCTGAACGTCTCACAGCAGTTTCTGCTTCTCTTCACACCATTAAAAATCACACACACACACAATTATCCCAAATAAATAATAATCCACCGACGCCTGTGTTCATTCTGGCTCGGTGTGAATGCTGCCCCTGCAGGTGACGTGAGTCCGTTTATTTAATTATTAAACAGCGTCGATACCAGCGTTTGATCCGTCGATCAAACACTTTATTGATCGCGTCAACATTAAAGGCAGATTTCGGGCTGAACTTCAGTCGATTCGTCAGCAGGTCGTTAACTATTCATTAAACACTGCGTTTACTGCAGTTTTTAAATTTACAAACACGCAGTTTAATTTACCGTGTGGTTAAAACTGTATGTTTTAATTTTTTATAATAAAATAAACATAAATAAACAATAATAATAATAATAAAAACTACTGTTTCACAGTTTTACATTTTTAAAATAACAGTTCTGATAAATGTGAACGTACAAATGAAAAGTTTCAGAGGATTATTTTACTTCGTTCTAGCTGCGGCTGCACACACACACACACACATTTATAAACAACTCACACACACACATCTCTATATGTATTTGAATATATACTGTATATATTTACACACACGTTAGTCGTGTCGTGTCGTGTCGTGTCGTGTCGTGTCGTGTCGTGTCGCGTCCCTCGGCCTCAGCAGAACTGATGTGGTTCGGTTTGATTTTCCAGGAAATGTCGGGGGAAAAGACCAACAATGGGATCCACTACAGACTGCAGCTGCTCTACAGTAACGGTCAGTCACTGTTGACACAACAAAACTGTTTATGACGCGCGAGGTCAGGAAACAACTGTTTTACACTTTAAAACATGACTAATCAATAACGTGGTTAACGTCAATGAGTTATAATTCAAACATAATTTCAAACATTGGTCATTTTTTACCAGTAATTAAAAATGTATAAATATATAATGTACAAATTTATTTGACTGTTGTCCTGAATTTAATGGTTAGTTCATAATTATAGTTAGTTAATAAATATAGTTAGTTATTAATTATAGTTAGTTAATAAATATAGTTAGTTAATAAATATAGTTAGTTAATAAATGTTCTTTTTTATTTACTGCATAATTTCACTGTCAAACTTTCATGGAACAATTTCATTGATAAAAAAATAAATGTAATTAATTTGTTAAAGTTTTCAGTGTAAACGCTTAGAATTAAAAAAATGTCTGATGATCTGAGCTGCACTTTAACCTTTACACGTGTGTGTGTGTGTGTGTGTGTGTGTGTGAAGGCATCAGGACGGAGCAGGACTTGTACGTCCGTCTGATCGACTCCATGACCAAACAGGTAGGAGCTCCAGGTCCACACAACTGGACC